TTGAGTTTGTGTTCAATTTTCTGGGAAGTTGTATAATTTTGGTACAGGAATGAACTGTCTTTTCCTCTCTGCATTTTTCACATTTTAGTACTGGAGATGGGAAAAGGAGGAGATAACACACAACTAATGTAACACAGGAAATAAAGTCTGTGGTGCAAAAAATGTCAGATAACTTCATTAAAATTCCTTTAGTATGCAAGAGGAAGGATATATATAGTACTGGCAAAGGAAAGAATACAAAATAAAGACAAATTAGTGTTAATTTTGCTGATATTCCCTTATAATCACATGACTAGGGGCTTCTCTAAATGTCATCTACCTCTTAGTCTTTACTTCAGTTCTATATACTTCAGGCTATGTGAAAAAAAAAAAAAAAAAAAAAAAAAAAAGGAGAAAATGCATTTTGTTCTTCCAACACTTGCATCTATCTGGTTATAAATTTTACATTCACTGTATGAATTCTTTCTCTTTTCAGTTTTTCCTACAGTTGTGGCTTCTAGTACTTCAGTAAAAGGTTGGTCTAACACAGAGCTAGATAGTCTGGAAGTACACAGTGACAGCTTTTTCCAACCAAAATTTTAAGCCAAGAAACTGGAAGTTTCCAAGGAACGTGTCTTCAATCATTCACAAGAATGTGTGGAAGAGCATCTAATGGAAATTAGTTGTTTGGCTACAGAGGTCTTTACAGTTTCCTTAGCTTTTGGTCTTGGTTCCCAGGCTCTCTGACTTTGAGCCCACATCAGGAGCTATGCCTGCAATAACTGTAGATATCTAGGACTTTTCTCTTTCAGGGTCTTATCTTGAAAAGTGGTCACAACTTAAAGGCCAGTTAGGAACAATTCCTAGTTCATGTCAATTTTATGCCTATGTCCAGAAATTGTACAGAAGAGTACTTGGCTGCCTGGGGCCAAAAGTCATACCAACAATCACTCTAACAGTTCAATACAATAGATAGATGACTTCTAGTGCCTGGTAGTGGCACTATTTAATGTTATAATAAACAAGTAGCCTGATAAATGGGCATTGGATATACAGGAGAAAGCCTGAAGTCTCAGTTTCATGTAATGAGCCTGTGCTTGCTGAATCTTCCAGTTTACAGCATTTCTTTTTGGAAAGAAAACTGGTTGATTGGCTTTTTTTTTCCAATCATGCTTTTAAAATAATCTGATCGACATTTGTACTTAGGAGTACTGAAATACTTCTAGTATGTGAATACAACACTTTTGGTATCATTGCTTACACTTACTAACATTACTTACAAAATCTGTGTAAGGGCATCTGTACATTTGCCCTCAGGACTGAATTGTCAAATTACTTAAGCTGCAGACCTATGAGCAAGAATGGTTGATACAGCCCCTTCAAAACTGGAGGATTTATGCACCAGAGAATTCTTGGTCACCACTAGAGGAGTTAGGTCACTGCATAGAGGAATTAGGCAGCCTACATTAGGAAAGGGCAATGGGAGAAAAGTAATCATGCTGTGCTGAGTTGCTCTAACAGTTCAATTTATGTAGCCACTGAATACATTTACTGTTCTTTCTAAATGGATTGCATATTGTTATTATATTTTTAAGGTCTTTTTTTTTTTTTCATTCATTGCTAGGCACTTTCCGATATAATTAGAAACAAAAACACTACGTTTGAAATTAGACATATTGTGCATATGACACAAGATATTGAATGAAATCTAGGTCTCACACCTTAACTATACTTTCCTGAACATACAGAACTGAAGTTACATTCCTTTTAATACAGAAAGTAATCTTATTTGACTCTGAAAGCACAGAAAGAGCAGACAGACTACTGCATCCCAATTGTTTGCAGTTACTTTCCTATTCATTATGATCTCCTAATATTTTGAATTTCAACACTGATTTTATCTTATTCTGTAGGTGAACATTTATAGCATTTGATCAGCAAATAATGTGAGAGTCCCTGGGCTATTCTACACATACAGGAGTATGAATCTCTGTGCTTTGTCAAGTTGTCTAGTTCATATTCCTCTACAATTGCAGTAACTAATTTTACAGCATAAGGAGTGATATCTCTCTGCATTCCTCAGGGTGGAATTATTAGTGCAGGTGTATCTCTGTGCTGTAGCCAACAAATTTGTTTGACACATGGTTTATGACCTACTGGATGTACATGTCTGCTGTGAAACTAATGACGGATGAAGCAAGAGAACAAGTTATCTCACAAGATTTCCAGTTGAGCTAGAAATAATCTGTCCTGTGAAATGTTGACATGTTCACTTCTAATCTCGGTTAGAAAATTGAGGTTGGAGTAGATAGTGCTGAAAAATAATGGGGTGAAAATCCTTTCTAACTTTTCAGACCATTTCCTGCATACATCCTTAACTTGCTACAGAGTGCTTAGAGAGTTTCAGAGATATTCATTCAGGTTCATTTTAAGACAAAATCCCCATGTGTACAGCTTTACTACAAAATATTTCTTGTGTTAAAGAGAAATTCTGGCTATTACTGTTTGTGTAACATAGTTCACTGTTTTCCGCTAATATCTTTAGAGATTTATTTAAGAGCAAGGGAATCATAACTGATTCTCTGTTTCCTTAAAATGTTACTTTTCCAACAGCAATTGATTAAAATAAATCAAACACGTAGCAAACAGCCCAAGGTCTTCCATACTACTTGTCTTTGTTAAAAGTAGATGCCGTAGACCTGCAAAGGTATGTCTACAAGAGTAATCATCAAAACAGCATTGATCTCTTTGAGAAGGGTGTGAACAAGTTTTGAAAGCTCTTTAATGTTCGTGTACCTAAGACTAATAACCTGGCAGGTGGCTCTGAAAAAGAACCAGATGATAGACACTGAAGGTATATGAAGATGAATCCTACAGCCTGAGGAATTTTCCAAGAATGGATTACAATTCTACCTTTTTATTTTCTCTCTAGAATCTGTCCTAGTTTTAGTAGTAGATGTTAATAGTCAATAAAGCCAATGACCTTAAAGCTGACATATTAAAATAGTGTGGAAAGGTCTAATTATTGTAAAGGTCACAAGATTAAATTTTCATTCCAATTTTTTTATTTCCAGGAGCCAATGGAAATGTAGAACAGCTATCAAAATTCCCCTGTGACTTTCAATAAATGCTTGATGTTTACTTTGTTGGGCCAACATTAGAATTTATATTCGTTTAAATATGGGAATCATATCTGAATTTTTAACAACCATGAAAGTGGAAGGTTTATATATGTTTAATAAAGCAATTGCTTAAAATTAATGGCAGGAAAGCATTTCAGAAAGCATGAAAACTGTCTCCAATATTCATCTTAATTGGGAGAGACAACTGAAACAACAAATGTAATGTTTTGTGGAAGAATATGATCTAAGATTAATACATTCTATAATATAGTAGAATGAAGAATGAAGTACTGTTAGATTAATTTCAGAATGTTTTTTATGGAGAAGATTTTACCAAATATACATAAATTTTATAGGAAACTTTTCATTTCAGAACATATAATTTTAAATATGTGTTAATTTCTCTCAAAAAATTGAATTTAAATGGAAAATGCATTTAAAATTATTTTAATGTTTGAAGCATAACACTTCCAATGGAAAAATCTCTGCTTTCAAAAAATCTGATGAACATTTTTCAGTGTCTCTGATTACTAGAAAATATCAGATGGATATTTTTTTCCTACTTTGTGCAAACTAAAATTATCCAGTCCATCAGTCTCAGGCTTTTATTTCAGGTTTTGAGGTAGAGAATACCATAAATGAATAAGTTTGGTTTTTTTAGTGTCATTGCACTGTGTAGTGATGCTTTCTCATTCAACACCTCTGTTTTCTTTACTTTTCCCCCTCCTACTTTCATGTTTGGATTAAGCACAGGCTTTACAAGAACATGTGCTTTCTCAAAAGTCTTTATTGCTACGTGATTCCATGGTAGATGGAATATATTGTTCTGTCACAGCAATTTAACACTGAAATAACTCTTCTGATTTCCTGATTTTGTTGAATGTTACCCTTTCATATATCAGTGAAATCAAGCAGAGTTGCAGCTTTAACATCACTCAAATAGCATGAAATTTGTTTCCTGATTAGAAAATTTGTTTTTTCCATGAAATTTGTTGTAAAGTTGACTGTACAACACCCAGGTGCTTTTTAATACAGATTTGTATTTATATTGACAGCTCAGGCAAAGCATTCTTCACTAAAGGGCCTGTCTGCATTTATTTCTCAATAGGTAATTATTACTAGCATTCAAAATGATGGATGTATATTTCCTGGTGTGTTTCTGAATATGATTCAAAAGAAGGGAAGAATTTGAGATCCAGTGTGACTAATGTATTGCATCATGTATTTTTACATTTCATTGATAAGTATACAGGCATAATATAAATGAACTCAATATATACATATGTGCAAGATTTCTGGTGTTGAGAATTATGAGTACTTATCTAAGGTAAGGTATGTGCAAGAACAGATACTCTTTTGACCCACTAAAATTTTAAAGACAGTATGCTTGGATACTCAGAAGAACAGAAAATATATTTATTTGGGTTAGGAAATGCATGTTATTTTATTTGATTTTGAAAACTCTCTTTTTGGGTAGATAATGAAGTGCCAGTTAAAGATCAATTTGCATTTTGCAAGACCTTAAAGAACAACTCTCTACAACCACTGCAGCCCTTCACAACTGTATTTTAATTTTTCATCATTTGTCTCTACATTTAAGTTACCATTCAAGTTTCTGTAATAGCTTCAGAAGTCCTCATCTTCACGAGTAGAAACTTATGTTAGTAAAAAATGTCATTTCTCTCCAACCAGTAAATGACATTTTTCCTAAAATCCTCAGGCATTATAGTAAGAATATTTAGGAAAGCTTTATAGTATCAATTTAAAAGTGGTAAAAACTAGATAGCTGTTTTACATATGCTGTCCATTTTCAATGTCTATTAATCATTTCCAGTGCCTTTGCAAAGTGTTTCCACCTTCCAAACCTCTGGCTTACGGATTTCAAATGTTTGCTTTCAGATATCAACATGGCAGGAGAACCAAAACCATATAGACCAAAACCTGGCAACAAACGTCCACTTTCAGCACTTTACAGGTAAGTCAGATTTCACCCTTATCATGATACAAATCAGATTCATTAGAATAATTATGGTAAACTGAAATGTTTATTTTGTTTAATTTTTCCAAATGTATCCAGCAATGCAACTGTGTAGCACATGAGATAGACAAAGGGGTCTATCCCCATTATGGTTTGATTTCAAATGAAATATAATCAAGCTCTTGTACACGCCAAAAGTTTCTGAATGTGAGCAAAAGAATCAGTCTGACACTATTGAATCTACCCAGAGTAGTGTTCTAACTTCCAGAAATAAAGACTGTCTATTTGGTGCTCATAGCAAAAAACCTAAATGGCACCAACAAGGAATTGGCCTAGCAAAATTCCTGACAGGTACTTAGATGAGATTATCACAGTATGTAAATAATGACCCTCTTTTGATTAGAAAAACAAATTCCCTCTACTTTTTCTGAAGTGAAAATGGAAACAACAGAGAAGACAAGTAGATTTAAGGCCCATATAAAAATGCAGCATTTAACAAAATTATTTTATACGAAGTATACAATAAAATTATAAAATTGTCGTTTACAAAAACTACTGACAGAAATACCAGTGGGGTGTTTTGTGAACTGTTTATTAAAGTCCTCACTTCTGGAACTACAATCAATAATTTATTTGGCTCTATTTTAAAAAATGAGCATTATTTCAATTTTTAATCCTTATGCCTTATTGCCTGACTGTGGCTGTTCTTGTCTCTTTGTATTTGCTGGTGAAATAACTAATAATTTGAGAGCAAAATCACTGATTTCTCATTGATATGTGTATCAAGGGTGAGAACCAATGTCTATTAAGACTGGAATTCATGTTCATGTGTTCAGGAAGGCACTGATAGTGTCTTTTTCCTATTCCCAGATGATATTTTGTTGATATAGCTTGTACAAACATGAAGAAATCCCTACCTTTATTAAAAAAATAATTAAAAATATCAAACAATTAAACATTGTTAAGGAGATTGATAGACAGACATGCACAAGACACTGCTGCTCAGTAAACCCCACTTCCCTTAGAAGTGGGAAAAACTTCAGATCCGTGAAAGGAGTTAAGGCTAATTTCTTCCATGGCTGAAATGCAGACAGATGAGAGTGACATGTCGGTGGCGAAATGACAGACACTCATATTGGACCTTTTAAAGCCTGGTTTGATCTGAAACTATCATATGGAAATTCAAGGGTGGGATAAGTTACCCTTAACTGAAGCAATAGGGAAATTACTTTTGGGGAAAATAAACTCTGTTTTATCATTACTCTCATTTGCAACCCATTAATTTCTGTAGGTGTAACTGGTAGTCATGTGTGACTGTGTTACTGTGTCCCTCTGTATTTCAAAAGATGTTTGAAGAAGTTATGTGGTTTCTGATATCTATATACCGTTCCACCTCCAAGCTTTTGAATGGTTTCTCATAAATGTTCTACAGACAAGACAGTGATAAGTCACTGTGGGAAGTTCTGACAGATCTTTAGAGAGAAAAAATGATATTTGGTTGTATCATCTTATGGATCTCTCACAGACTATTTTTCTAGTTTCTTAGATTACATTAGGGTTTGTTGTTTTTTGTTGTTTGCTTTTTTTTAAATATAACTAGCAAAAGCCTTCACCTGAAGATAATGGAGAAGTTTTGTTATCCCACTATCTGTTAGCATATTAATATGGGAGAATGTTAATGGCTTATAAAATTATTGGCAAAGTCAGTATTTACTACGTCTTCATCGTACTGGGGACAGCTGGGATGGAGTTAGCTTTCTTCTTAGGCCCCCTTATATTACTGCTTTGGATTTGTCACTAAAACACGTCATATTTTTGACTGTTTCTGCACAATAATTGACCAGCATCAAGGCTTTCACTTTTTCCCACTGTGCCTTTGCTGTGAGCAGGCTGAGGGTGACAAAGTACTGGGAAGGAACACTGTGGGCTCAAACTGACCAAAGGGATATTCTATATTATATCAAGTAGTTTCCAGAAATAAAAAATGGGGCATTTTGTCTTCCAATGTACCTATTGCTTTGTTGATCAGCCAATCTGATGTTTAGGCATTGGTCTGCCTGTGGTGGGTGAAAGGTAATTTTTTGCATCACTTGTTCTTATTCCCTTTCTTTCTTCCTTTATTAAACTGCATTTATCAAAGTCCATGAGATTTCTTTGATTTTACTCTTCCTATTCTTTCCAGCATCTAAGGGAAACAATAGGAAATGGGGGTGGGGAGTCAGATATTGACTGTATGGACATTAAGCTGTCAGCCAGGGCCAACACACAGCAAACCTGGACATTAAGCTGTCAGCCAGGGCCAACACACAGCAAACCTGGAGAAATTTAAGTGGAAAAATTGTTACCTTAGATTTTATTTGACAATGAACATTGGTTAAAAATTAACAAAATATTCACTCTGAAAAAAAAGGACTGTAAGAAGTAGAAAAAGAACAGTGGATTTCAGGAAGGACCGACTTCAATGAGCTCAAGATATGATAAGTGGGATCTCTTGGAAAGAAATGTTAATAATAAAAGAAGTGCATTAAAAATTGCATATGCTGTGCATAAGGTAGAGAAAAAATAGGAGTATAATAAAGAAAAATATGTAAGCATCAAGATCTTTTAACATCCTCTAAAGTGAAAAGAAATTGCACAAAATGTGAAAAAAAGATAACATGACTATGAGTGAGTGAAAAAGAAAATCAGAATCATAGAATGTGTTTGGAGGAGACCTTAAAAATCCTCTAGTTCCAACCTCCTGCTATGGGCAGGGTTACCGGCCACTAGATCAAGTTGCCCAGGTCATCCAACATGGCCTTGAACACCTTCAGGGATAGGGTATTCATAACTACTCAGAGCAGTGCCTCACCATTCTCTGAGTGAAAAATTTCCCTCTATCATTGCCTCTTGTTCTGTCACTATCAGTCCATGTAAAAAGTCCCTCCTGATTATTAACTTCTTTTAAGTACTAGAAAGACACAGTGAGGCCTTCTCTTCTCTAGGCTGAACAAGTCCAGCTGCTTCTTTTGATGCAGCCCAGGATACAGTTGGTTCTCCAGGATGCAACTGTACACTATTAGCTTGCATCATGCTTTTCAGCCACCAGGACCCCTAAATCCTTCTCCATATGTATCTCTTTGTTAGTTCTTCCCCCTTGTCTGTAGACTAATCTCAGAGTGCTGCGACCCAAGTGCAACACCTCACACTTGACCTTGCAGAACCTAATTAGGTTCATGTGGTTCACCCACTTTTCAAATTTGTCCAGGTCTCTTTGGGTGGCATTGTTTCCTTCTGTCATACTGTCTGCACCACTCAGTTCAGCTCCATGAGTGCGCTGGCTTTTCTCTAACAGGAAACCAGAATGCCGAAGGAAAATGAAGGTATAGAATACAACAAAAAGACTGGTTTTAGAGTAACTTTTACTTTTATATAATTTTATATAAATCTGTAACTTTTTATCATGCTGTAAGAAAGGTGAGAAAATAGTAGACCATACAGGAAAGGCTTCTTTTGCATTAGCAAAAAAGTTAGTTGACAAGCTATTTAAGAAAATCAATTTTAGCCAGAGGGATGGAATCAAAGAATTGGATAACCAATATGTAAATGTGAATGTGAATGTGAATGTGAATGTGAATGTGAATGTGAATGTGAATGTTATGATGAAATTCACCCTAAACACTGTAATGAACTAGCTGAATTTGTGTGTGAACTATTATTGACTGTTTTCAAACTTATAGAGGTCACATAAGGTAGAATAACAGCAGGTATTGACAGGTGTACACCTATATTTTAAGAAGAGGAGAAGCCATAAAATTATCAGATCAGCCCAGCTTTGGTTCCCAAATATGCAGTAGGAAAACAAACAAACAAACAAAAAAAAACAGAAACAAAATTTGTCAACACCTACAGGACAGTAAGATGGTAAAAAGAAAAAAATCCATCTGCATTATCAGGAGGAAATGATGTTGGACCAAAATAATTTCTTTCTTTAATAAGTCAGTAGATATAGTGTGTAAAGAGGAAACAGTAGATGTGCTGCACGGTCATTTAACAAACTTTAACTCTGGCCCTACGCTATCTACAGAAACATGTTCAAGAAACTTTTTGTTATCCTGAACAGAACTGTCCAGCTTCAATCCCAATTTATCTTTGGCTGCACAGATTTTCTCCCTGCAGAGAACATCTCTCTCATGTAATCTGACCTCTCTTCTAATGACCATAAACTTTCCACCTAAGCTCAGAAGATCCCTGTTCAGCCAAGCTGACTTTCTGCACCTTCCAGTCCTAACACTTTGGTATTGACTGTTCCTATGATGGTAAGAGGTGATACTTAAAAAGTGAACAGCACTGATGAACAGCAGTATTTCAAAAACAGAATCAGGCAATTCCTTGAGCAGCCTGGAATCCACTCTCCCTTTTTTCTTCCTGTCATCAAAGGTTTTAAACTCAACTACTTCATGGTCACTGAGGCTAAGATGGCCACCAAATGCCACTTCACTCACAAGACCTTCTCTTTACAAGCAACAAATCCAGGAGGATGCCTTTTCTAGTTGTCTCTCTTATGGATTGTACCAAGAGGTTACCATCAGTGTGCTTTCTGGACCTGTTTGTGCCAGCAATGTGGTATTTTCAGATGTGTGATATCCTATGATGCATTATACATTGTAATTTGCTAAAGTATCCAACTCATAGAATCTTAGAATCATTGAATCCTTAGAGTTGGAAGGGACCCTCAAAGGCTACATAGTCCAACTCCCCTGCAGTGAGCAGGGACATCTGCAGCTAGGTCAAGTTGCTCAGAGGCTGGTCCAATCTGACCTTGAATGTCTCCAGGGAGGAGGTCTTCCCCATACCTCTGGGCAACCTGTTGCAGAGCCTCTCCACCCTCACTGTAAAAGACTTTCCTCCTTATTTTCAACCTAAATCTACCCTCTTTTAGTGCAAAACCATTTCACCTTGTCCTTTCACCATAGACTGTGCTAAAGAGTCTGTCCCCTTCTTTTCTGTAGCTCCCT